AATGAGAAAAACCAATTTTTACCCCATAAACCCCTGTTCCCGTAGTCCGATCATGCTGGTTCGCGAACTCGTTTGAATAAATGTAGATTTAGGCGTTTATATCAAAATCAGAAAATTTATTCTCAAGTTATCGTGCTAACGGACACACACACACATATATGAATTTAAACGTATGGTGTTTTTGGCCTCTAGGGACCTCAAAACGAAAAAGTAAATCGGTCCCGGGTCCAGGTCTTTCCATGAGTACTACGGTAATAGCTTATTCCCTGTATGGGAAATTCGCTAAAAGTAACCAAAGTGATTCAAATGAAACATAACAAGTGTATAATGGGTTAATAATCAATATAAGCATTCAATTAATTAAGAATGCTAAAATAAAATAAAACATAACACAAATATCATAGAAAAAAAGCAATAACAAATGTAAAAATGCTTGGCAAGTCATTAAAGCCAGTAGAAATTCTTTAATTGATTAAAAAAACACCCAAAATATCTCCTGATATTTTCAATAATTGTTTATAAATCAGTTGAAACATAAAAATGAGAATTGTTAATATTGCTTACAGTTCAAATGATTTACTTAATAAGTCTTCTTATCTATCTTACCCATCCCTGCTGTGCCTTTTTCCTGGGATTTTATTACGCCCGATGATTTAATAATAGCAAAAAAAAAACTAAAAACCTCTAGCAGTAATGATGTTTATCTTATGCGTAATAGTTTGCTTAAACAGATTATCATACTAATATTATAAATGTGAAAGTTTGTGTGTGTGTTTGTTTGTTTGTTTTGTTGTTTGTTTGTTTGAAGTTCAATCACACATTAACTACTGGTCGGATTGGGTTGAAATTTGGTATGATGATAGCTCACATTCCCGATTAACATATAGACATAATTTATTCTTATCTAAAAAATCTTTTCGGGCTCCGCCCCAGTGGTTCTAGAATTTCCCATGTTAACCTTATGGCTTTATGAGTATTCATATTAAAGCAGAATTGGAGAATGTTTCCAGCTGTTGCAAGTACACAAGTTGGTTCTATGAATTCAATTGCATTTAAAGGTTATAAGGTTTACCAACAGGATGCAGCACTATTAATTCTTTTTGCATTTATGACAACAGCTAATTTGAACCAAGCAGCAACAAAAACTTGTGAGAACTTTACTTTTTTCTAATGTTTAGGTGCAGTGGTAGAACATTATGGCTATGGTAGATGTGCTATACTATAGTATAAAATAAATTATAGTAAACCAAATTTTCTTATAACGTACAAGTCCTCTCCTATTACAAACACTAAGCACGAGTATGTCTGCAATAAGCATTTTATACTTATACGCCAACCCTGTACGAAGGACGGGTACTCTGCTAGTTGGTAATTGTAGGATTTCTATATGCCTTTCTTAATAGTCAGCTGTTTCAGTTCATATATAATTATTATTTACATTTGTTATTATGATTTTTGTGTTAATTCTAATTGTGAATAAAAGACAACTACATGAAAACTATTCTTTTATTTAATTTTGACACAACAGTGTTTTGGCGACGAGATTAAAGCTATTGTATTTCAATCAGTTAGTATCAAGTTTCAATCATTTACAATTTAAATTCAAATGCTTACCTATGCAAATACCCAAGATGAATCCTCGACAATTTGAAGAGCATATCAAAACCATAGTAGCAAGTAATGAAAACGTTCTAAATGCTGTTTTGAACCGAGAACGACAGGAACAAACAGGTAACATTATGATTGTACCCAGTTTCGAATCATACGACACTAAAAGAAAAACTTCAAACAATATTTGGAAGGATTCAAAAACTACATGCAAATAAAAGGAATCAAGACTGGTGACCAGAATGCAACTAAGCTTTTGCTCAATAGCATTGGTGCTGAACTCTATGAATTACTATCAACTATAATAGCACTTAAAACAGCAACAGACTTACAGTTTGATGAACTCTGTGCAGCACTGATGAATTATTTATGTCCGAAGAAAAACGTTATGGTAGAACGTCATACATTTCTTAGCTGTTTCCAAAAAGAAAATCAAAGCTTATCAGAATACATAAATGAACTTCGAAATATTGCAATGTCATGTGCCTTTGCATGTTCATGTAAAGAGTCAACAGCAGAAATATTTCTGGCATCACAGTTCAAAAGAGGAATTAATCAAAACTACATAAGAGAACAATTGTTAATGTGCCCCAAACTGAATTTCAGTCAAATGATCAAGAAATCATTAGCTCTGGAGGCATCCAAAGTTGATTCATGGAGTATTTCCATCAAAAGCCAGAATGAGTCAATGAGCCAAGATGAAGTCAATTACATTTCCAAACGCAACAACAACAAAAATAACAATGATTAAAATTCAAATAGAAAATTCAACAGGCCTTCTAATACACGGAATATAGACTTAAAAGATTTGGGAATAGAAGACTTATGCCTCCGATGTGGAAAGAACAATCACAGAGCTTCAATGTGTCGTAAAAATTACAATTACCTCAAATGTTTGTCCTGTAATTGTAAAGGTCAGGTACAAAAGGTATGTATAAAGACTTATCTAATATATAAAATTCTCGTGTCACAGTGTTTGTCTGCAAACTCCTCCGGAACGACTTCACCGATCGTTATGAAATTTGGTGTGTAAATTCTGTAGGTATGCGAATCGGACGTAAACTATTTCCCGTTTCGAAATTCTTAAAAGGGCTCCGCCCCAGTGGCTCTGGAGTTTCCCATGTTAACCTTATGAGAAATGGAATTAATGAATCTTAACAGCTGTTTCAATTAAACAAGTTGGTTCTGTTCAATGATGTTCAATAGCATTAAAGTTACAAGGATTACCAACAGGGTGCAGCACTATTATTTCTTTTACATTTATGACAACAGCTAATTTGCAACCAAAAGGTGAGTGAGCGTAGCGAACGAACTTCAACCTGGAGGCGAGTGAGCGTAGCGAACGAGCTAACCTGAAGGCAAGTGAACGCAGCGAACGAGCTCCAACCTAAAGGTGAGTGAGCGTAGCGAACGAGCTCCAACCCAAAGGTGAGTGAGCGTAGCGAACGAACTTCAACCAGGACGTGATTGAGCGATGCGAACGAGATCATCTTGAAAATTAAACGTAACGGTACTTTCTTTCCATCGGTCTGTCTTAGGGGAAACCTATAACTTAGGCGATACGAAGTTCGCCGGGTCAGCTAGTCTATATATATAAAGCTCAAATACCACTGACTCATTCATTCATTCACTCACTCATCACAAAATCTCAGAAACCATAAGACCTAGGAACCTGAAACTTGGCAGGCATCTTCCTTTTGGGTAGTAGACGCTCACTAAGAAAGGATTTTACCCTCCGACCTCTGGGCTCTGCCCCAGTGGCTCTGGAGTTTCCCATGTTAACCTTATGAGAAATGGAATTAATGAATCTTAACAGCTGTTTCAATTAAACAAGTTGGTTCTGTTCTATGATGTTCAATAGCATAAAAAGTTACAAGGATTACCAACAGGGTGCAGCACTATTATTTCTTTTACATTTATGACAACAGCTAATTTGCAACTAAAAGGTGAGTGAGCGTAGCGAACGAACTTCAACCTGGAGGCGAACGTTAGCGTAGCGAACGAGCTAACCTGAAGGCAAATCACAAATTATTCATGAAATGAAAAACATAAACATCCACGTAAACAATCCTACTTTGACAGTTCTCATTGCGAATCACAGTTTTTTGTTGCTGCTTAGTTCAAATTAGCTGTTTTCATAAATGCAAAAAAAATATAGTGCTGCACCCTGTTGGTAAATCTTATAACTTTTTAATGCTTTTCCATATCATAGAACCAACTTTTTTAGTTGAAATAGCTGACTAAATTCTTTAATTCCCTTTAAATATGAATACTCATAAGGTTAACATGGGGAATTACAGAGCCACTGGGGCGGAGCCCGAAAGGATTTTTGAGATAAGAATATGCCTATATGTTAATCGGGAATGTAAGCTATCATCATGCCAAATTTCAGCCCAATCAGTCCAGTGGTTTATGCGTGATTGAACTTCAAACACACAAGCAAACAAACACACAAACTTTCACATTTATAATATTAGTAAGATGTCAAATTTCTTGGTATTTATCTGGATAAGACTCTTTCTTGGGGACCTCATATCAATTACATAAGTTCTAAGCTTTCAAGGGTAATCTTTCTTATAACTAAACTAATACCTTGTATGGATCAAAATTATATTAAAACAGCCTACTGTGCTTTTTTCAATCCATTTTTAGATATAATATTATCTTGTGAACCCCTACAGGAACACTGTAAACCCCTGTTCATTCAGCTGCAAATTCCAACAGTAATTAACGTTTATTTATTTGACTCTGTATCATATATTCTAAAAAATCCCAACTTAATCACACAAAATTATCATGTTCATAATACAAGGAATAAAAATGTTGCTACCAATGCTTTTTTTCAGACAGTAAACTCTTAAAAGGTTTTAAACTCTCAAAGTTTATTGTAATCTCACTAAAAATATACAACAAGCTAATACAGGTAATACCAAAATATCCTGAAAATACTTTTAAAACAAAATTTGACAAATGGCTTTTAAACAACCCCTTCTATTCTCTAAAGTATTTTTTTAAATGCCTGGTATAATTTTTAAGTAGAGTTAGCAAATTGACCAAAGTACTTTTGTATTTGGTTGGTCATGGGGTTTAATCACTTCCATTATTCTAAAATGTCACAAATTTGTCTTAACAATAAGACTATTCAATTGTAATATTTAAAATATGTATATTTTAACATGTCTCATTTTGTGTAGTTAGCTATATTGTAGTTATTAACTGACTATTCTATAATTTTAGCTGTTTTATGACATTGTCAAGTTCAAAAGACAATAAACATATTTCATTTTATTCAATTTCATTTAATTAAAAACCCAGCAATTACAAATATTGATCATTGTTGTGTTTGCTTTGCTTACTATTTACAAATGAGTTAAAAATGTATCATTACTTACTTATCATTTTTATTCAGAATTGACACATTTACATTGCCCAGGATGATTTTCAAGTATGTACCGTTTTCCTTTGGAAGACAGTGTTCCATCTCCACCAGTTGGTTGTACCTCTGCTCAATCCCTTTTTTAAGTTTTTCAACTTCATTTTTCTGGATATCTGATATTTTCAACCTATGAATATTTACAGGATTATAATAATTAGTAGTAGTTTACCTGTTGCTCGAAATTGAGCAAGTGTCAAGGAGGTACCAGTATTACAGGTGTTATTTTAAAACCAACAACAGTCATTTTTTTATGAGTTTAAAAGACTCGACTAAAAAAGCTATGTAACTAATGGAAATACTCACGCTGTTCATAACAGTTCAATATAACAAACATAGGCTATCAAAAATGTTTTTTTGTGTTTTCTAAAAAAAATTCTGACCAACCCATAGGCTAGCTGCATAAAGTTTTGCATGTTATCTTCATCATTGAAACTGTAGCCTACATTGTATTTGCTTCAAATAACATTCTTTTGGTTAGTTTATGTAGTGAGTAAATTTTACTTACCTGTAAAAATGCAGAGTTAAAAGGTTTGATGTTGTTCATATGTTTTATAAATATATAATTTGGAACCTTTTCATGAAAGTTTTAGTAAAGGCAATAAAGGCATCTTGGATGTAGTCCTATTCTTCTAAAATCACATCAAAAAGTAGGCTACATGTTTCCTCCAAAAATTCATTTTTTTCATTTTCATTTTTTTAATCACAATTTTATTTACAATCCTGTTCAGCTTTTTGAACGTTGAGCAAATATGAGAACAATTTATAAAACGTTATTTAGTTTATAATATTTCACTTACTTTTTCAATGAACTGTTAATGATTTGCAGCCGATATCTTTGATGCGAGATATCCTTTACACATTTTCCTTGAAGTTCCCCAACTTCTTCAAGTTTAGCCAAATACTCTCTATTTGTTGCCTTAAACAATACAATAGTCATTTGACATATTTAAGAATATTATTTTCATAGTTAATAGGTTATCAGATAGAAATCCAGCTACTAGGAGGTCACGAATTGTGGATATTTATAGGGATGCACTGTGGATGCGATGCTCCCTGGTGTGGATTAACGTCCGCACTAGTGAGTACTACGACTATCCGCAGTACTATCCTGATAATTAGACCAATTCGTAAATTACAAGGAAATATGTGGTTCGGATTCCACTATAAACTGTAGGTCCCTTAGTTGCCATTAGCTGTATGGGCTATTAATTAACAGCTGTGTCTAAGGAACATGTCGGCCTTAGTCACTAACAAGACTACAAGATCGCGCTACTCATCCTACACTCATCCTTCACTCATATTTGGGTTAAAATACGCACATAGTGGCGTCCCCATCTTAACTAATTGATAATTGATAAAACAGCTCAGTTCCCAATTCTCCATGCCTCCATGCCTGCTAGTCAAGCCTCAACCACACCAACTACCATATCAGTCACCCAAATTAATTAAATTATGTGTAAGTGTAATATGAGAAAGCTCTTTAATTAGCTATTATTGTAAGGTGGCATTGTAAGGTCTAGGCCCAGGACCAAAATACTTTTCATTTTTATGACAAGCGTTTTTATCCAATAGCGACAGCCCAGAAGATATGTGGCGGCAAAGTGAGTTGTGCGGTTGTGCTTGGCGATGCCTTTTAAGTGTCACATATGGCATTTGTGAGTGCAGCTTGTTATTGTGTTTATCAGTTTTCTTCAACATTCGTTTACGCAATTTTATAGGACTTCCATATTATTTATTATTTGTTATTGTACAGAGCAGTATGGTAGTCCTATTAAATTACTTTAGCACCGAATGTAGAAAAAACTAATAACTTGATTGTTTGTCATCCGATTTTAACAAACAAGGTCTCATTTGATTTGGATTTAAATTCCCTAGGCCCCTATCTATGATTGAACCATGGGAATGAGGTTTTATGGGGGTGAAAATAGGGTTTTCTCATTTTGACCCTGAAGACATAAAATGTCCCAATTTCTCTTTTAACCACTATAAACAGCTTAAAAAGCAAATAATTCAGTATATTAACACGTTCGCTACCGAGCGTCACATATATGCGACGTCGTGGTCATTGCCTTGGACCGAGGTATACATTTTAATCTTACACATAGACCGGCTGTCACTTGGTTAACAGTAGACGCAGAGCGCAGGCTAAAACCTGTTAAACAGTGATCGTTTACTTTGTAAAACGCTGCAATCGTGTTTGTAAATAATATATTCTTGTTTTTTTCCTTTTGTAATGTCGCATATTTGCGACACCTGGTCTATAGCGAAGACCTTAGTTAAATTTTTTTTAATAGCCTCAACGCTAATTGACAAACGCATAAATGCGACAGTTCATTTTTGTTTTGATTTAGGACATGGTAATTCAAATATTTTATTTTTCAAAAGCAGTTTATAATTGAACAAATATAAATAAAGCTACATAGGATGATGACGTTTTGATACAATGGTAAATTGTCATTAAAAATAAAATAATAAAGTAGCCTAATACGGTAATAGCATTTATGTAGATATAAAGTCAATGCTATTACCGTAGTACTCATGGTAAGACCTGGACCCGGGCTGATTTACTTTTTCGTTTCGAGGTCCCTAGAGGCCAAAAACACCGTCCGTTCAAATGAATATATATGTCTGTTAGCATGATAACTTGAGCACAAATGATCCGATTTTGATGAAATTTAGTATAAACGTGTTTCAAACCTACATTTATTTGAACGAGTTCGCAAACCAGCATGATCGGACCATGGGAACAGGGGTTTATGGGGGGTTTGATAGAGTAAAAAAATGGTTTTTTTCCATTTTTGACCCTAAAAACATAAAATTTTGCAATTTCTTTCCAAACCATTTTGTAGAGCTTAAAAAAATATATATATCTTACTAATATTATAAATGTGAAAGTTGGTGAGTTTTTTTGTTTGTTTGTTTGAAGTTCAATCACCCTTTAACTACTGGTCGGATTGGGCTGAAATTTGGTATGATGATAGCTCACATTTCCGATTAACATATAAACATTTTCTTATCTCAAATCCTTTCGGGCTCCACCCCAGTGGCTCTGGAGTTTCCTATGTTAACCTTATGAGTACCAGTATTCATATTTAAAAGGGGTTAAAGAATTTTGACAGCTTTTTCAATTACACAAGTTGTTCTATAATATTGAATATTATTAAAAGTTTTATGGTTCACCAACAGGGTGCAGCATTATTTTTTTTTTTCATTTATAACAACACTGCTAATTTGAACCAAGCCACAACAAAAGGCTGTGATGCACAATGAAAACTTTTAAAGTAGGATTGTTTACAGCGAAGTTTATGTTTTTAATTTATAAATAATGTTTTGATATTGTGCGAATATTCGATAATTTACTTGCTTATTGTTTAGGTGTAGTTGGTAGAACATGACAATGGTAAATATGTTATTTCTATAGCTTCCGTAAATTAAAAGAACCAAATTTTCTCAAATCGTGTCCTCTTCCATTGCAAACACAAAGCATGAGTATAACTGCATTAAGCATTTTATACTTAAACGCCAACCCCGAACGAAGGACAGGTATTCTGCTAGCTTAGTATATTGAAGCATCATTATGCGCCTGGTGGTTAGGGAGAAAATTCAAAAAATTACAAATTTAAAATCCCTATGTTATTTTTATGTAGCTAAATAACTAGCTAAATATAATTTTACACTTTTTTTTATTACTTATCTATCAATTCCTATGCTGTGATACAGCACCTATCGGTAGCCTATCTGTCTATCATGAGCAGTACCTTACAACACCTTCTAAAGGTTCCTTTATAATATTTACGTTATTTATAACAATTCAGTGTTTGTCTAGTTATTAGTTGAGTTTGAGTTAGCTATAATTTTAAACATTGCCGTTTGTACAACTGAACCAAGATAAATGATTAGAAATTTAGAATAATAATGTTATTGCACAATAACAATGATTGTGCAATATTGAATTTCATTAATAAAAATGCAAATCGTAACGTTAATGGCTGTTTACAGCGTTTTAATGGATTTGTCATATTCTGTTTTTATACTATGTTGGATTAGCCGTATTTTTCATTACTCCCCCTCCCTATTAACTCAGGTATCTACACAATAGTGTAAAGTGTTGTAGCCTATGCTACTTGATTGTATTTTAACGAGCTTTATGTCAACAAAGCGTTCTGTGCTAAGTCGCGGTGTAGCTGGACGTGTCTGTACAACGCACGTTATCTTTTATCTATCACATCAGTTGAGCCATCCCGTGCGCTCCCTCTTAGATCTCACGTCTTGCTTAATTTGTATAATAACTTTCTACACAAATCCGAAACCATCCTAAAATCTTATTTTAACTAATTGAATTCAATAATATAACTATTGTCATTAATTAATACACTTTCTATCTGGCGACTTCGTAATGTATTTTGGATTGTCGTCACGTTGAACACTGCAATAAGCTTTAGCCACCCCCCCCCCATTTTAATTTTTTGAGCCCCCCCCCCCCCAAGAATTTCAATGACGCAGTCTGCGTCACAGCCCCCCCTTGTGGGCACCCCTGAATTCAAACTTCCATGGCCAAATAAGGGCTCATGCAGATGTTTAATCTCAATGAATTTATACAATTATTATTGGAAATTTAACGAAAATTCTGAAAATGACAACGGATGTAGAATAAAAACAATGTTTAATGCACTTCTGGCCATTTTACGTAAGTAAGTACAAATATTTTGAAAAAATCTTAAATTGTCTGTTATTCCCTACCTGTAAGGGTATGGAAACTTAAATTGGTGCCATTTTGTCACCAATACTTAGTAGTTTAACACATAAAATTTTTTAACACTAACTTCGTTCCACCCTGTATAGATAAATAACTGTTAGGTACTTAAGTTAGTTTGCTTGTTTATGAACATATTTTGATCAAATTTGGAAAATGCATTAATGTCATATTAAACTATCATAGGCCTAGGTACTGAGCCGTATTAATAAAAAGAAGGATATGCTCAAAAGGAAAAGGTATGAAGCAAAAGCATTTGCTTCTAGTAAAAGGTAAAAGTAAAAGCATATCTTTCAAACCGTATTAATAATGATTACCTTTTACTTCCAAGCAAATCCTTCTGCTCGGAAGTAAATGGTTCCTTCTTTAGAAACATCACATGTTACACGTCTAATCCTGTCTATTTTTGTCTACTGATACCCCTCAAAGGCTGTGCCAACTCCGTGTAATGGTTTTGCATCCGGCTTTGAATTTAATCATCACAAACTAAATTATAAAATCTAGAGTGTGTGGGCCGGAATTTTACCCCGGATTTTACCCCCAGAATCTTAATCCCTTTCTAGACATAGAATTTGGTTGATGATAATAGTTAGTCGGGTACATAATAAATTTGTTTATAAAAATCATCATACTGTATATGCTTTGTAGATAGCATGTAGTACTGTATAACCACAGGAACCCTCGCCGCAGCTGCAGACTTAATAAATTTCCTTTTACCTGGCTGGATTTCTTCTAAAATATTTCCTGAAAATTGTCAGATTTATTTCCTATTTAAATAATATTAATTGTAACGAGTACCTAGGTTTGCTGATTCAAGGAAGGTATTGAGGTGTGTTTTTATTGAAATGTTGATAGCTTAGTAGGAGGTAAACAAAATACTCCCGCCACAGCAAACCTGCAGACTAAGTAAATTTCCATTTGCCTGATTGGATGTAGGTACACTAAAATGTCTCCAATATCACATTCATTTCCTATTTAAATAGCTTTAGTTTAACATGGTTTAGCTGATTACTTAGGCTTACTGCTACAGGGAGGGTAATAGTTTAGTATAAAATGAATGTAAATTTGATAAAAAAAATGCTCATAAACAAGAAAACTACATGAGTTTAAAAATTTCTCCATAAAAATAACATGGAAATTTTTAATTTACAATTTTTTTAATTTTTTTCCGTAGCCATTAGGCGCATAATATCGCTTCGATATACTACTAAATTAATAGTTTTTTTAAACTCTACAAAATGGCTTGGAAAGAAGCTGCTAAATTCTATGTTTTTAGGGTCAAAAATGTTAAAATCCAATTACCCCATAAAACCACCCATAAACCCCCGTTTCCATATCCTATTATGCTGATTCGCGAATCCCTTAGAATAAACGTAAGTTTACACGTTTGCACCAAATTTAATCAAAATCGGATCACTTTTGCTCGAGTTATCGTGCTAACGGGCACACATATATATTTGAATTTGATCGGAGGAGGTTTTTGGCCTCTGGGGACCTGAAAACGGAATAGTAAATGGGTCATAGGTCTAGGTCTTACCATGAGACCTACGGAATAGCTTTTTCCCTATTTAGGAAATTCGCTAAAATTTAGCACCACACTGTAAAACCACCACACACCTTTTACTTTTAAAAACGTATAATCTGCTACTGATCAGATGCATAATTTTTTAAGGATTTACTTCAAATAAAAAGTAAATGGTCAGTTTTATTAATAATCATTTACTTAAGTCATGAGCAAAACCTCAACTTTCTATAGATTACCTTTTCCTTATAAAGTAAAAGGTTTTGCTTGAGTTTTTATTAATACAGATAGAAGGATTTCCTCGAATTTTCACAAGTAAAAGGTTTAGGCCTACCTCTTCTTTATTAATACGGCTCACTACTAACATTTCACAAACACACTTTTAACCCCTCCCTGTTGCAGCAAACCTAAGTACTGTACTTGTTAAACTAATAGGCTACTAGGCCTATATAAATAGAGAATAATTTTGTGGTATTTTTAAGGGGATATTTATTTTTTAAGAAGACTTAAATCCAATCAAGCAAATGGAAATTCGCTTAGTCTGCAGGTTTGCTGCAGAGGAGGCAGCATATACATCATACTTTATGTATAGGCCTGTTATAAAGTTACATAGGCTGGTGATATCAAATATTTGTATTACAAAAAAAGGAACCCAGAGGAAAACTACGTGGTGTAACTGACGATTGGTTAACTTAATTAGGCTGAGTTTAGGCATTTACTGTCGAAATAAACAAAATAAAATATGTGTGAAGTTGCAGAATATTTAGTTGAACAACTGAGACTAAATAGGCCCTAGGCCTATCTTACTAATATTATAGTTTGTGTGTGTGTGTGCTGCTCAATCACGCATAAACTACTGGACGGATTGGGCTGAAATTTGGCATGATGATAGCTCACATTCCCGATTAACATTAAAGCATATTCTTATCTCAAAAATCCTTTCGGCTCCGCCCCAGTGGCTCTGTAGTTCCCCATGTTAACCTTATGATTTTTCATATTTAAAAGGAATTAATGAATCTTAACAGCTGTTTCAATTAAACAAGTTGGTTCTGTTTTATGATGTTCAATAGCATAAAAGTTACAAGGATTACCAACAGGGTGCAGCACTATTTTTTTTTTTTATTTATGACAACAGCTAATTTCCTACCAAAAGGCGAGTGAGCGTAGCGAACGAACTTCAACCTGGAGGCGAGTTAGCGTAGCGAACGAGCTAACCTGAAGGCAAGTGAGCGCAGCGAACGAGCTCCAACCTAAAGGTGAGTGAGTGTAGCGAACGAACTTCAACCAGGACGTGAATGAGCCATGCGAATACTTATGAAGTTAAACGGGGCAAAGCCCGCGGGTACAGCTAGTATTAGGCATATTTTTTACTTAGGTTACAAAAATAAGTTATGACAGTAGGCTTGTCAGCTGCACTTTAGTAATCCGTCCTACAATCATTCAAATGGATATAAGGTATTTGTTTACTTTAGGGGCATCTAAAGATTTATGAAAAACATGTTTTATTCTCATTATTTGGCCTATATGTTGAACAGTTGAACGTCAACTGTTGTTTTTACACAGAAAATCATGTTTGAAAAATCATAAAAAACTGCAAAGTGGGTGCCGAAAATGCCCGGCCCACTCCTTTACCAAACTAAATATAATCTAACCTAACCTAACTTAACTTTGAAAACCTAACCACACCATGGTAGCCTATACCAAGAAAAATACGTAATTTTCAGCATAACTTATTGCTAACCTAAGCATGGGTTCGGTCGGGTTAGGTTAGTTTAGGTTAACTTAGGTTAGATTATATTTAGTTTGGTAGAGGAGTGGGCCAGGCATGTTCAAAACGTTGCAGTTTTTTATGATTTTTCAAACCTGATTTCCTGGGTAAAAACGGCAGTTGCCGAAAAAGTGTCAGAGGGGATAAGTGAATGTTCTAAGTAAGTGTAAAAACACATTAAAAGTAGTACAGTAGCCTACTTATAAAAAAATAATAAAAAATAAAAATAAACACTGATTTTTAGAATCTTTTTAAATTTTCAATCACCATTTTCAGGTTGAAATAAGTTAAATAAGTTTAGGCGTTTGCATCAAAAGTGCCAAATGTGAAGTGTTCAAAAAAGGCCAAATAATGAGAAACGCAGTGGATAAGGCGTCCGGCAATTAAGATAGGCCTACATATCCTAAGTAACCTAAACAAACAAACTTGCTGATAACGAAAGAATCTAATGAAGGTTAAATTCTGTTCATAAAATAAAATTATAAATGCCAAAAATTCAAACAAAAGATGTACAGTTAAGAAGAAATGACATTCAAAGCAAAATCTTTGACAAAAAGTTAAAGTTATTTTACTGATGGGATTCGTGCCAGGGACAACTTGCATATCAGCCGATTACTAAATCCACTACACCACGAACACCAATGGCTGTACATCGTATCGTTGTGGTAATGGCGTTCCGGGCCTCCACAACCCGGTGATGTCACTGCGGGGCCTAATCCACGTGCGGTTAGGCTACCGGACACGTATCCTCTGTGAATGAGAAAAATTTTAGATCGATTGATAGGCCTATATCGATATAGGCCTATTTCATTCCAATGAGTGTCGAACTGATACTAAAGTGCAGCCGAACTATCTTTGTTGTTGTTTAACTTATATTCCATTCAATATTAGCCTATGCCTACATTAGACTAAATCACTGACTTACCTCCAAACTTTTAAACTCTTTAGTCAATTCATCAAATCCTTCAGTGCAACTTTCTATATCTTCCAATGTAAACATTTTTCGCAAACCAGTAAGTTTATGCCCAACAGCCCAACTCGAAATTTAAAGAGGTTGATGATAGGCCTATATTTGTAACAAATTGACAGCTTAATTGTATTATTGAAAGCTAAAATTGATCACATACTTCTAATAAAATGCCTATTAAATGCAATTCTTATGGCTGTGTAGTTAGTGTTTTTATGTTAAACTTGGCTAATAGAACAGAACTGACTCAAAACGGTATAAGTTAGGGTAAGTATGTAGCCTACAAACAACAAACAACCTTAAACATTAAAATATTAGCACTAGCATAGATTTTAGATTCACTTGATCATAGTAAGAATGCACATTTAAAAACTCTAAGTAGTTGTTCGGCCTTTTCAATAACAGCTTTAAGCTGTGTGACTTTACAGTTAAAAAGAGGATTACTAACTAACTAAAATAACTACGATAACTTTGACAGACAAACAAAACCAAACACAAACAGAAACCAGAAACAAGACAATGAATGACAAACTGTTGTCAAAGACCGTTGAAATTATTCAAACAGACCTTGCTTGACGTCTGCAACCAAGTACAACCTAATAATAAGTAGGGGGGCCACCAGTTGACCGACAAGATACTTGGTCGTCTTGCCACTAGACCGTCTTTTTAATTAAATAGATAAATACTGAAAACCAGTACGTCGACAAGTTATTTCATCGTCAGTCCAGTTGACCGGCCTGTAAATCTAAATTATTATATACGAGAAACCAACTTGTCGTCAATTCTCCCGACCGACTTACCACTTGCTCGTCTTTTAGGTGGGGATGTGTTGAGCGGCAGTGCCAGCGGCGCGCGCAGCTGTGGAGGGCACTGCAGGCGTACCAACTTCTGTATCTTGTAGCGGCGGTTTTCATTCCGACGATTTTCAGCTATCACAATGCAGCGGACTAGCGAGGTTCTTATTACGTGTAATTGTTCGTTTCTCAATCGATATTTTGTTATACACAGTACAGTGAATATAAATAGGCCTATATTAGTTTACTTCAATGAAATAAATGTTTTATTTAGCTAAATAAATAAAAATACGCCGATTGAACAAATAAAATTGTTACAGACAACAGGAAGTCCTTAATATGATCAAAAAAGTGTTTATCTTTATTAAAAAATTACTGAAATTTGTAAACTTACTGCTGGCGACAAGGGTGGTGCCATACATAAGTTTATCAATAAATAAGATAAACATGGACAACCTTATGCAGCTATAAGTCAGGAAACATTTGTAGAAACATTAAAAAGCAATACCAATTTATGAAATATGATAAAATATTTACAGGAAATGTTGATTACTGTATATACATCGTGAGTATCTCCAGCAGTTACACACTGGTGATCTTTGAGTTGACTCTTTTAAACTCATTGATTATTACTTTTTTTCGTTTTGAAATAAATTCTGTAATACTTTGAAATTGCTCGAATTCGAGCAACATGTACACGAGTTTGAATATTAAATTAACTAACATATTTATGTAATAGGAGGGTCAAATATTGTTAACAGTGGTGAGGTAACTACCGTTACATTTATTCAATTGAGAGATAAATACAAATTGATAATACCGGTTATTTAAAGCTTTGTTGTCTATTTTTCCCTCTCTTAAAAAAATAAAATAAAGAATGAATTTAGACTTTTGGTGACATTAGTTTGTACTATTTCTCATTAAATGACACTGCTGTCTTGGTAAGCAATAGTTATCTCGGTAAACTATTTATTTGCTGAAGTGCACAGTGTGCTACTTAGCCTGAGAAACATATTTTGTTTTATGATTTTGTTGTAGGCCTATTGAAAACCTTGTCTAGAAGGAATTCCCATTGCCTGTGTTACCGGGGAGAAGTTTTTCTTAGTAAAGTCTGTAGACGTCTTCGGTTTTACACAGAAACATGTAATTATAATTGAAGAAGTACATGTTTTATCCTCTCACGTTGTTGCGTGGACAATACTATGGTGATTCAATTCTGTGTACTTCAATTGTCTAACTGGCCCTAACCATAGACAAAAAGAATTAAATATAGACTGTCAGCCGTGCTGCGGTTACCATGGTTACCATAAGTTCGGGCGCACACCGCTGTAGTTTACGTAGCGCGTACGCTGTAACTACCGTGGCGATCCCAGCGGTGTGCGCCAGAACCTATGGTAACCGCAGCACAGCTGACGGTCTATATTTAATTCTCTTTGTCTATGCCCTAACTGACGCATCCTTGTTTTTTTTTTTTTTTTACTAAATAATGTAGTCTTTACTTCCGTGGATCTTTGCGTTTTATTGTGTAACTGTCCTCAAGTAAGTCTGTGTTCTGAGTAAGTACTTCAAATGCACGGCACTACTGTATATTCAGATTTTTTAATGAACTATCATAGATAAAAGGAGTATAGACATGTATGTATGACAGAGTATGTCTACTCCTTTTATCTATGGTACTATTTCCAAGTTCATCTGGACGACCCTGCAAATCGTTTCTAGTAAAAAAAATTTTATTTGGTTTATGTTTATGAACTTGTATGAGTGTTGTTAACTAAAGCTAAATTCACATCAAATTAATTAATTAAATTTATTTTAATAGTAGGCTATTTCTAATCAATTTCAGTTTTAAGAACATATAGTAAATAAATCCTTGTTGAAACGGCTGTACTATCCATGCAATTATTGTCAAACTATATGTTCAAAGATTCCTGGACGGCAATGTTATAATACTAGTTGGAGCAGAGGTACTGGATCTAGGGTTAATACAGTTTTGTGACGTGTACGGTATATCACTGCAGAAGTAGTTAGCTCAAGAATTATGACGCGGATGACAAAGATTGGTAGCTTTTGCTATAATTATAAAAAAAAACCAAGTACATAAAATCATTCACAGTTTTTTTTCACAGTCTATTGAATAGCCTGCAGTTAAGTTCACTCTAATGAAGAATATAGACGTGGCCAGAGTTCCAAACGATTTAAGTAACAACTGTTTACATGAACTATCCTATATGTAAGTTTTTTTTTATAGTGTGCAATGTACTTATTGAATTTTCATTAGTAATATATCATGGCTATATCGTTTATGTAAAAGTATCAAAAGATAGTAAAACGAAAACGAAACAATCAACCAAGACCAGTGACCGAAACAAGTGTCGAGCTGGCGGCGCCGCGCCTACCTCGGGATTCCCCGAGGGCAATAATTCATCTTTGAAGTAACACCGGTAACACTGACTCACTGGCCGACACGGATACCCGCCTACCACCCCCTTTGTGTCGTCACCCTATGACCACCGGTCGGTCGGCCACCCATCCAAGGAAACTCTAGACATCGGCGGCTCTTTGTCGTTCGTTGACCAGCGTATTTTCTAGAGTTGAATGTATACCCTCACTCACACCAGGGAATAAGTAAACTGTAGTAGTTTTCTTGTTTATGAAAATATTTGCATTAAATTAGAAAAAAATCATTTATTTATTTATAAAATGTTATTATTTTACAAAAAAAAACACACTTTTACCCTCCCTGTTGCAGCAAACCTAAGTACTTGTTAAACTTATTCTATTTAAATATGGAATAACTGTGATATTTTCAAAAAGTCATTTTAGTGTAAATCCAATCAGCAGGCAAATAGAAATTTGCTTAGTCTGCAGGTTTGTTGCGGTGGGGGTATATTTCGTCATAAACTCTTTTGCCACTTAAGAGTCTTCAATAGTAAAGTGGCAACTAAAACGCGACTCCTGCGACCCAATTCTGGCGGCGCTCTAGAACTACCCGAAGGCCTTTTCCGGTATTACGCGTGCCGCATCACACAAGTAGTTTTCCCGCGCCCCTATTCAAACGCTTGTAGGCGAAGAAAAAGAAAACGAGTTGACGACCGAGGCTAGGTCGACCCGATCGACTTCGACAGCTGTTTTACTGTCTCTCTCCCTCTCTCTCTCTGTCTTTGGATGTGTAGGGTTGGCGAGGGTTGTAAAATTGCTGAAAGTGAAAGGGACGTGGCTGGCGCTACGTTCCTAGTTTTTGGCCTCTTGATGCTAACACTGGGTCGGCTACTCGAGATCAAACAACAGCGTGTGTTTAGTACAAAATTGGGTCCACAGTCACATCTATACTTATTTAATACGCAAGCAGGATTTTTGTGACAATTATTCCTCCGAAACTACTGAACCGATTGACATGTTTTTGGTGTCATTGGAAAGAGCGTAACGTGAAGTTGTGCAGGAAACTTTCTTTTTAGGTAAATAATTAGAGAGTGAGGAACTGGGACCCTTTAAAGTTTCGTATTTCTCCATAAGATTAACACGGGAAACAAACATTGTTTTGAAACTCCAGCTGTTGTCAGGAATTAAATATTGTAATGACTCAAAATTCAATGTTTATAATTATAGTCCTTATTTTATTTTCAAACTCAATCTTGTTATATTTTCAATATTTATCCATGTCCATTTTTAATATTATTAAAACCATATTGTCTCAACATATATATAATTTACTATCAAAATTTATTCACTGGCTTATCCAAAATTATTATTCAAAAACAAATCCTCTAATCAGAACACCATCCATCTGGGTTCAAGATTATTAATAAAATTCAACCATGTTTTTATTTATGTGAACCCCATAACTTGATATGATTTACAACAATGAAAAGGAGAGTGCAGTTTAGCTATTCAAGAAGAGCACATAGAAACTATATTAGTTGTGAAATAAATTATGAAAATATAAAGTAAAGTATTGGCAAAATATCCAAATTAAGTTAACCGAAGAAAGAAGAATTTAAGCCTTTAAACTAAGAAGAAAATTATTATTACAGAAGATTGGTGAGAACATTCCATTTATTAACTCAGACTAACTTATAGACTCCTCAAGCATCCATTTGGACCCTATTTACCTCCATTAATTAAAATCAAAACCCTTCCTATTTAATTTATTGTTTTTGAAAGATTATTAAATTTATAATTTACCATACTCATTGAAAATTTAAATTGGAAATCTTTTGATTCGGCCAGCACGAATCCCCACCCCTGAACAATTTTTGTAACCCTATTTTAACCATTTAACTTATGTACCATTAAACCTTGTATTTTAAAGCCTCTGTCCTCAAATTATTATTGTTTAAGATAAGATTAGAATACAAACCATATTAAGGGTTTATTTCAATGGCGCCCAACGTAATAGGCTTGAATCAAAAGATTTCATAATTGTATGTTGAGACAATCTAAAATAGGCTAATAAATACCAATAGGCTAATAGGCTACTTACGTATGTTAGGCCTACTCTTAAGAAGTTAGGTAGGATTAAGAATTCCGATTTCCCACAACTTATGTCCCACCAATATTAGGTACTAACTAAACGACTTGTAATTCTAAAAATAAATAGGCTACTATAAGGTAAAACAGATTTATTTCATGTCGTAAAGCGTAGGCCTAGCTCATTATTGTTATAACGATACCCAACTTGTCCTATAATATCCCTGTTCCCT